AAACACTTTGCTACTCACTGTTCATTTAACTAGATTTATTGAGTCAATGATATCTGTCCATTTGATCTGCTTGAGGAGATTCCAGGAGTCCAGAACACCTTGCATTTCACAACATCCCATTCACTTGCCCCTCCCTCCATCTTCCATACCATTCTGCACTCAGATGGGAAAGGTGTAATAACTTTAGCACACAGAGGGTAACTTAATTTCCTTTTTAATGATTTTTTATTGAAGGATAATTGCCTTACAGACAACTTCCTTTAACTGTTGTTCAGTTGCTCAGTAATGTCCAGCTCTTTGCAACCCAATGGACTGTGGCATGCCAGGTTTTCCTGTCCGTCACTATCTCCTGGAGTTTGCTCAAACTCATATCCATTGACTTGGTAACTGAGGTATCATTAACACAAACTTTATTTACAATAATTATCAGATTTTGTGATATACAATGATTAAATTTTACATTGCTAACAGCCATAGCTCAATTCAGAAGAAATTTTAACTCTTAGGACCCTGATGACACAGTCTGATCAATAAAAATTTGGAAGCATAAAATATATTCCATGAAGATAAAGTGATGTGGCAGAAGTGGAATGAAAATGTTTTCAAGGAGATAAAGGAACAATGTAAAATTCTAATTGGGAAAAAATCTTGTTGATGTTCAGTCACTAAGTCGTGTCCTACTCTTTGAGACCCCATGGACAGCAGCACTCCAGGCTTCCATGTCCATGAGATTTTTCAGACAAGAATACTGAAGTGGATTGCCATTTCCTTCTCCAGGGGCTCTTTCTTGACCCCGGGACCAAACCTGAGTCTCCTGTGTCTCCTGCATTGCAAGCAGATTCTTTTTTTTTTTTTCCCATTTATTTTTATTAGTTGGAGGCTAATTACTTTACAATATTGTAGTGGTTTTTGTCATATATTGACATGAATTAGCCATGGATTTACATGTATTCCCCATCCCGATCCCCCCTCCCACCTCCCTCTCGGCCCGATCCCTCTGGGTCTTCCCAGTGCAGCAGGCCCGAGCACTTGTCTCATGCATCCAACCTGAGTTGGTGATCTGTTTCACCCTAGATAATATACATGTTTCGATGCTGTTGTCTTGAAACATCCCACCCTCGTCTTCTCCCACAGAGTCCAAAAGTCTGTTCTATACATCTGTGTCTCTTTGTCTGTTTTGCATATAGGGTTATCGTTACCATCTTTCTAAATTCCATATATATGTGTTAGTATACTGTAATGGTCTTTATCTTTCTGGCTTACTTCACTCTGTATAATGGGCTCCAGTTTTATCCATCTCATTAGAACTGATTCAAATGAATTCTTTTTAATGGCTGAGTAATATTCTATGGTGTGCAAGCAGATTCTTTACCCACTGAGCCAACCCATGGGATCCACTTAAAAGAATTCTGTAATCATTTAATTTAAAAATTTTATTCACAACTCATGGGAACTTACTTTTTAACTGATCAAACTTATGATAAAAATAATTGTAGATGTTAGCTTAAAAACAAGTGAGGGAAATAAACAACATACTTCTAGGGGGCATCTGAATTTTTAAAAAAGTAGGGCACATTACTTGCTGCACACAGCTTTCCTCAGCCTTGAGAAACTGTTAGCTCTTAACTTCAGTCCTTCAGACATGTTCTCACTTGGAAGGTGCTTCTTCCTTCTCATCCCTAGCTTTACCCTGGCAAGCTCACCCTAGAGCTTCATGTCAACTCTACCTGAGAAGGCTTCTATGTGCCCAGACTAAATGAGATCTCCTTATTATATGTCCCTATGGTACCGTGAATTCCTCCTTTACATAAAACTCACCCCACTGCAAAGGGTTAAAATATGTACAAGGTAAGGAAGTAGAGGCAGAAGGTGTGGACTGAGTACAGCCTAAGAGGTGGGCAGGCGGAAAGGAGAGTAAGTTTGTGACTGGAGTCTGCTGATAAGGAGGCTGCAGAACACAGGGGATAATCAAGTGGGAAGGGGCCGAGTTTGGACATAAACGGCAGCTCAAGTTCTCAGTGTCCCCATGCCAGAACTTGCACAAAACTTTACCACCTGGTGACCAACAGTAATACAGGGACAATCCACAAGAAGTAACGTATTTACACACGTCACACACATTTACTGACTTCATGTGTACAGACTGTAATGTTAACACTGAACCAGTTTTATCCCTTCATGTCTGTGTGCTTAGTCAGTCGTGTCTGACTCTTTGCGACCCCATGGACTATAGCCCACCAGGCTCCTCTGTTCATGGGATTCTCCACACAAGAACACTGGAGAGCATTGCCATTTCTTTCTCCAGGTGATCTTCCCAACCCAGGGACTGGGAAGATTTCTTTCTGTTGCTTTCCTCCATTGCAGATTCTTTGCCTTCTGAATCACCAGGGAAGCTTATCCCTTTATACATTTCCCTAATTGTACAGATGTCTGGTCTCATTTAATTCAAGGAAGCATGGGGACACTGATTGTGCACATTTTCCATATCCATGAATTTTTCCCTCCAGTACGAATCTAGTTCTCACTGGGCATTGCTTTCCACAGAAAGAGGGGAGCGCTCGCTTTGGCAGCACATATACTAAAATTGGAATGATACAGAAAAGATTAGCATGCCCCCTGTGCAAGGATGACATGCAAATTCATGAAGTGTTCCATATTTAAAAAAAAAAAAAAAAAAAGACCGAAAATCCTGTTGAAAATCTCTGTACTGTGGATGCTTACCTGCTGGCAATATACCTGTGCAAACACTTGTTCCTTGAGCAATTTCCATTCATCTGGCTTTGTCCCCCAGGGTGACCATTTACCAGTCATGTTACATGTCAACTGTGTGCAGACAGTCAAATCAGGTAGCCACTGTTCTGGACGTGATTACAATTTTCCACTGAAATGCCACTAAACGTATTTGGCTGGGCTTTCCTGGGTTCAATCAATGGGTCGGGAAGATCCCCTATTGAAGGAAATGGCAACCCACTCCAGTATTCTTGCCTAGAGAATTCCATGGACAGAAGAGCCTGGTGGGCTACAGTCTTTGGGTTGCAGAGTCAGACAGACACTTTCACAGGCTTGCATTCAGAAAAAAAAAAGTTTTTCCTTTTTTCACTTAAAGGATTACACAGTAAACCACACTCACTGTAGTCAAAGGACGGTAGAAGAATTCAGAAGGCCTCGGAATCTGTTTTCATAACAATAAAACAGCTGCCCTGATGTCTTAGATTTTTGTGAAGGTCACAGAAGTACGTTAGTACTTTATTCCACACGCCCATGCGGACATGGCAACCCATTCCAGTACTCTTGCCTGGAGAATTCCGTGTACAGAGGAACCCATGGGGCCGCAAAGAGTCAGACACGACTGAAGCGACTGAACCACCACCACCATGCAAGTACCTTCAAGAACTACACAAAAAATGAGGCTAAGCATAAGCTCTCAGGAAGACATTAAATAGCCAGGCCTGGGAAAGTGAAGCGAGAGTGAATCTGATAAGCCTAGAAGGCAAGGGAGTTTGGGTGAGAATGGATCCATGTATATGCATGGCTGAGTCCCTCTGCTGTCCATCTGACACTATCACAACACTGTTAATCCGCTACGTGCTGTGCTGTGCTTATCAGTCCTGTCCGAGTCTTTGGACCATGGACTGCAGTCCACCAGGCTCCATGGGGATTCTCCAGGAAGGAATGCTGGAGTGGATTGCCATGCCCTCCTCCAGCGGATCTTCCTAACCAGGGATCAGAGCACAGGTCTCCCCGCATTGCAGGCGGATTCTTTACCATCTGAACCACCAGGGAAGCCCGTTCATTTGCTATACAGCAATATAAAATAAAAAGTTTAAAAAATAAAATTTGGCATCCAACAATTAAAAATATAAGAGTGAATCTGATAAGACAAACTAATGAACCTTGTAAAAAGGCTGTCCAGCTACGCGTGAACGTACAGTGATGAGAAAGAAGGGACCTGATTCGGACACACGCTAGAGGGCGAGTGAAGGGCAGGAAGCAGGGTCCAGGGCACCAGGCGGGGAGCAGAGGCAGAGCCGAGGCGAGCGAGCGAGCGGGTGGACGCCGCCGTGAAAAGGAAGCGCAGCCTGACTGTAGAACCCAGGGCGAGAGCCCCGAGAGCCCCTGGGGCTCTTCTGTAACTACCCCAATTGTCTCCTGCTGGCCTTGACCCAGCCGGCCTGACCAATCTGTCAGCCGGGCAGCCAGGGTGTGCAGCACCTTCCAGGTGCCGAGCTTCACCTGTGCGCCCCAGGGGAAGGGGATGTCTCGGCTCGAGGGCGTATCCCGGCGTCCAGGGGCCCTCGGACGTGCAAGCAGGTGGTGGGGCGTCTCCGCAAGCCCACCTGTGCCCAGAGCCCGACCACGGGGCGCACGGCCACCCGGGCCCCTCACCGGCCCGGACCAACCGCACCGCGTCCCTACAGCCAGTCACCGCGTCGCCCCAGCGCGCGCGCCCCCGGAGGGGGGCGGAGCTGGGAGACCTTTGGAGCATGCGCAGTAGCCTGAACAGGGCCGTCCACGCGGCTGGGCAGCCGTTGCGTTTTAACCGTGTACAGCGCTCAACCAATCAGGAGGCGAATTCTTGCCGCGGGCCCCCGCCCCCGGCGGGGGACTATGGCAACGGGCGACCTATCGGGAGGCGTGTTGTTGGCGCGGAGCCCCGCCCCCGGCCGGGGCAGAGGGTCATGGGGTGTGAGCGGTCCTGAGTTCCCCAGCCCTTGAGGGCCGCGGCGTCCCTTGCCTCGGGCCGCGATCAGCGCGCCCCGCCCTTCTTTCGCCAGCGCGCCCGCCCTCCGGCGGCGGCCCGGCCCATGCGGCTGGGGGCGGAGGCCCGAGCGGGCGCGGGCCGGGCGTCTCAGGTGCGGCGGGCGGCCGGGCAAGGTGAGGGGGCGGCGGCGGGGCCGGGCGCGGCCAGCTGATTGGCCGGCGAGCGAGGGCCTCGCGGCGGCGGGAGGCGGCGGGGCATCGCAGGGCCGGCGGAGCGCCGGGCGCGCGGAGACGGGAGGATGCTGCTGTCCCTGGTGCTCCACATGCACTCGGTGCGCTGCGTGCTGCCGGCCGCCGTGCTCCTGGGCACGGCGCCCACCTACGTGCTGGCCTGGGGCGCCTGGCGGCTGCTCTCCGCCCTGCTGCCCTCGCGCTTCTACCAGGCGGTGGACGACCGGCTCTACTGCGTCTATCAGAGCATGGTGCTCTTCTTCTTCGAGAACTACACCGGGGTGCAGGTGAGGTCCCCGCGCGCGGGCCGCCGCCTCTGCCGCTGTCGGGGGGCCCGGCGGCGGGGTGGGGGGTCGCGGGCGCATCTCCCAGCCTCGACCCGCCCCGTGTCTCCCGGCCGGTGCAGGTCCGACCCTGGGAACACGTGCCGCCACCCCATCCTCGCCCGCCACGTTCATGGTCGCGCTCCGGGGTTTGGCCCGATGCTTCTGTGCGGGCACCCCGAGTCTCTAGGTATAGCTGCAGGAACGCGGTTCTGTGGCCACAAGTAGGATCAACCGCTCCCAGCTTCTGAAACTGTCTGTCTCGTGCTTGGCGAAGTCGGTGCAGATGGACATTTAAGTAGGGCAGGCAGTTGACAGTTTCTGGAGCTTGGTCTGAGAGGAGATGGTCATGCTGGAACTCGAAAGTGCGCTCTGAGAAATCGGAGACCTTCTCTGCAGACAGATTGGTGTTACTCTTTGGACATGCAGTGCAACTTTGTGTTTCGCGTTCTTCCCCAGGATGATTGAAAGCTGAGCATGAAAAGTAATACATTTGTTACTGTAGAAGCCTTACCGGAGATAACATTCTTGCCAACTTTGACTGGGCTTAAGTGTGTGGCTAATCTTTTTTGTCTTTCTGTTCCTTTCCTTCTTGTAGAGAATGGATTATTTGTAGATTAAATTTGTAAAACAAACAAAAGTAGAACCCCCCTTTAATTTTTTGAAGTCTTACACAAAAATAGCAACTGTGGGAAAAAATTGTTAATTTTCCTTTTGCTCTTCAATTTGGGGGGGGGGGTGAAATAGAGCTTAATTCTTGGTTTTCCTTATACCCAGCCCTCTTGTTTTCTTGTTGTGGATGGGTTGGAGTGAGTGGGAAGACATTATTTTGTCTTTTCTACTACCCCCTAGTGCTGTTGCTTATACCCTCTTGTCCACCAGCTACTATTTTGAATTTGCAGTTGCCTTACTGTTAATGCGTGATGACTCTGAACTTGCCCCAGTTGGAGGTTTGGGGGGTGGGAACTAGAAGCCAGGGCCTCTGTTTAAATCAGTATTTGTGTTTCTTAGAAAAGAAAGACTGCTTTTCCAGATAATGGTTTGCTGATCTTTGACTTTTACAATGGGCTTCATTTAAAATTTTCATTAATTCAGAACAGTCATTTCCTCACTGTGTTCTTACTTCACCACAGTTGTCTAAACATATGGTTTTGTCATGATACATATTTAATTTTACATCATATGTCAGTAGGTGCAGGCTAGGAAACAGACTCAAAACAATATAACACAGTCATTTACCTCTTCGAAAAATAATTCTACCTACAGTGTTTTGTTTTTGTTTTTTTAAATTTTGGTTAAAAGCGTGTAACATGTCCCATGCAATACGACATATATGGCTGAAGTAATTTGTATAATAAGTTTCTTAAATTTTAAAAAATGGGTCTGAACTTTCCGGTGTTTCTGAAGTTGTGTATCTCACATCTTGTTCAGTATAGACCTCAGCATGTGGTTTCTTAAGAGTTTAGTCTGTTGATCAGTTTTGTTCAATTCAAGGATTCCTAACAGACTTCATCAGGGACCCACACATGCTAAATAAAATTTTGAATTATGCTTGAGACCATCAGACATCCTTTTATAAATACATAAAGAACCAGTATCTAGTGATAATCTTCTAAATGTCAGGATTCATTTTTCTTGTGTATTTTAAAAAATGTTGCACTTCCTCCTCCTTCTACTGGAATAGATGAAAAACTGAACTTTGATATTTGCAGACCGAAATATATAGTGATACACAACATGCCTCCTCATTAAAACCTAAGCATTTTAGTTACCATTTTCTTCCTGCTTAAATCAGTTAGTAACAACTGTTTGACTTTAAAATAGATTTTACACTAATGACTGCTAATCCCTACCTCCCTAAATGCTAACATGATACATTGTAACAGTCAAATATGAAATTTGGTGTGAAATAAATTTAGTTTTTCAATTGACCTGTTTCAAATATAAAATAGTTCAAATAACACTAGGAGCAAGACAGAATTAAGTCTAAGATTTTGGTGTTTATATAATGTGTCCAATTAGAATAATAATTTATACATTTACTTGAAAGGTTGTTTCAAGTGAAAGGTTGTTTCAAGTTCCTCAGAAACCCTCAAGGCCTTCATATCTGGAGGCCGTTTATAACTAGTTATTTTGGTAGCACTGTGTCCTCAAAAGTAGTGCTAAACTCTTAATGAGATAAATTTGTATTCTGTATCCTGTAAAAAGCAGGCTTCCCAGGTGGCAGTGCTCAAGAGTCCTCCTGCCAATACAGGAGATGCAAGAGACACGGGTTCCATCCCTGTGTCAGGAGGATCTCCTGGAGAAAGGAAGTGGCAACCTACTCCAGTATTCTTGCCTGAAATATCCCATGGACAGAGGAGCCTGGCAGGCTACAGTCCATGAAGTCTCAAAGAGTGAGACATGACTGAGCATGCAGTTTGTAAAAGCAGCTTAGTTATTAGAATGAAACATGTGTTTAGAATCAGAGAAGGGACCTCACAAGTCCAAGCTCTTTATCACGTTTGGATTCTTTTTGCATTTCTGCTAAAATGTTGCCCAGGTTCTTCTCAAATATCAGTAGTCCTATGTAGAATATATATTTTTCCTTGTCTCCTTTTCTCTTTTCTCTACGTATTTATCATCCTCGTGAAGACTTTTAAAGACCTTAGACTACTACCTTCAGTTTAGCTAGGAGGCACAGAACCCGGAAGATGCTTAAGTAGAATGACACAGCCTTTGAAAGAGGAAATTAAACATTTCTCAATCAAATATGATTCCAATCTAACACAGTTTAAGTCCGGCCAGGGAACAGACTTATAAGAAAATCTTAGAGAAGTGTAATTAGAACCTTGTTTTTATACTGTCTAGAAATATCGATCCTGGACTATAAGCAACACAGTAATTTTGGGTTGCATCCATATAAAAATTTTTTAATTACCTTATTTTTCTAAGTTACAGGTGCAGTAAAATATTCAAACACTGCGTAAAGATTTTGAGACAGTAAAGTTCCCTTATCTACACTCCCTCCTCCAGCCTGCAACAGTTTGGTGTGTAACTTTGGATTTCTACCAGGAGCTTTTAAATAAATGTATGAATTGTGGAGAGACTTCTCCATTTTAAATTAACTTCTTGGATGGGTTTTATAGTAGCACTAAATATACTCTAACCTTTGGGGACACCTCTGTGCCATTATGATGGAAAACAAAAGAAAAGAGGACTCTGTATATACAGTTTACTCTCCCTCTTTCCTAAATTGGTCTAGTTTTATAGACTTTATAGAGTCTTTTATAGAGTCTTTGTGACTCTGCTAGATTATTCAAGAAGGCTGTATCAATTGTTATGAACCACTCTGAGCTTTTATACTTCAAGCAGGAGTAACATGCTGTGTTTTATTCCGTTGATAACTGAGAAAAAATGAAGACTCCTAAGCATGGCCTTCAAGGCTGTCACAGTTCCGCCCTAGCCAGCTTTTCCATTCACTGACTTCACTTTTGTGCAACTGCTGCTTCCTTCCCAGCACCCGCTCCCCCATTCACCGCGCCTTCTCAAGAATGCGCCTTTGCGCTGCTCTTCTCAGTATGCTTTCTTCCAGCTCAGGCATTTTTCCTCTTCGCCTGTCACGATCTCACCCCATCTCAATGTCAGGATTACTTACGTGTAACATTAACCTGTAGTAATAGCATAGCAGGGGCATATTTTAATATATATATATATATATATATATATATAGTCCCCTTCCCTTGACTGTAGCTCCTTGGAGGTGGCAAGAGTGACTTGACTTGATGGTTCCCTTTCAGCAAAAGGGCAGAGCACTACGCAAGGGATGCCGATCTGTGTTTCTTTGGAAATGCGGGCACATCTCACTTTTAATCCGCAGGGGCTCTTGAATGGCCCTATTAGTTGACCAAAGACTGAGAATAAGGTCAGAGACCTTATCAAAGGAGTTCTGAAACAGCTAGCAATATAGAGACTTTTGTATATTTACAAAATATATATATAAAAGTATCGATAGAGAAGTATTGATACTTTTGTATACTTGTCAATAAAAACCTGCACTTTTTTGCAATTTTTAAAAATAATCAGTTCTGTCAGGTTTATTTTGTTTACTATGCTTCTTTCCATGAATTAGCAATGAAAACCCCAAATAAATAAGTGTTGCCTGGGGATTTAGAGGGCTATATGTGTGTGTGTAAGTGTATGTGATAGAAGCAGAGAGAAATGATGGGGGTGATACCTGGAAACAGGGTCATATTAAGTGCTAACCACATGTGAGGCACTGTTTCCATTGATAAAATAGCCTCTGCTCCCAGTGTACAACTTAGCAGTTAGAAACAAGTCAGTTTTTTTTTTTTTTTAAATAATGTATAATGGGATGTTACAAAATGACAAAATGAGCAAAGAGTGGAGGAAACACTGGAGTATAACTGAATACAAGTGGTTACTTCACTGGGGGAAGGTGATTCTTCTGTGTTAGATGCTGTGTGATGAAGCCAACTCCTCATGTGTTTACATGTTGCTTTGCTCCCATTCTTAATTTGTGTTTCTGTAGGAAAACATTTTATGTCAGTTTTTAAATTTTTACTCAAGGCTTTCTTACCTCCTTGTGGTTAATGTTCAAAGTGAAAAAAATTACATAAGCTTCTAATACATGGGACTCCTTCTCACTTGACAATTTTTATTTGGAATTTTTGCAAGTAATTTGTTATATTCAAAAGCTTTTTGGATGTTGGGTGAGAAACCCGGTGTAATTCTTAGTACTTTGCCATTCTCTGTTAGCTTGAGTAAACCAATTTTTCTACTCAGTATTCTCATTCTTAAATGGAATTCTTATTTTCCTGTTATTTTGAAGACTGAGATAATATGTGAAGCTGCTTAGCTCAATGACAGATCCATCACAGATACTCAGGAAAAGCACAATCTGTAAATGAAGACAGTATCAAGCGATACCTGTGGTGAATATATTGTATAAAGAGAGCTTTGTG